GTTGATGGTCCTAGGGACCTCTGCTCCTAGACTGGAAATTTAATCATTCCCTTCCTTGCTATAAAATGTCTACCTTTACATTTCCAACACTCACAATCAGTTCCGATAACATGTGAGTATATTTATAAAAGTTCTTTTGTTTATTTGCTTTATGATGTTCTCAAGTTATTATTAGTGATTACCTAAGTTTAAGCTCACTAAACCTAGAATAATTAGAAATTCATTTTTATCCACATTTGTTTTAATTAAAAAAAAATTAGTTTAAAAAAGTTATTTTGGTTAGGTTTGCTCTGAGTCAAATTCTGAATATGTAAAATCTGTTGAGCATTATTAAGGATGATCCCATTTGAGGGTTATATTAATGAGGCAAGATCCCAAGATTTGATTTTTGTAGCTATCCACCTAACTTCACTGAGCATTCTTTCGTTTTAGACAATCATTTTGAAAACTTAAGGCTAGAGTTGCTTTTGGAACCATTAAATTCTTTTACGTATTCTCCTTGGCTACTCTAAAGTAATGAGATTACCTTTGTGATTTATAATAGAAGTCATTTCTAAAATGAATTCTGAAAGTGTTTGCAATGAAATAACCATAGTTTTGCAAGGTGACTGCTTTGAAGAAAAGTGGCTATTTGGGCATCTATTGTTTTAGTCTTGGTACTCGTGGTTTCATTTTGTACATAACCAGTATTCTTTCATCATCACTCAACATGATCTGATCATTGAGTCCAAGCGAATGCCTTTAAGCTTTTAAAAGTATTCTTTTAACAAACAAAACTTTAAAATGTGTGATGTTTCATCTTGGTACTCGTGGTTTCATTTTGTACATAACCAGTATTCTTTCATCATCACTCAACATGATCTGATCATTGTGTCCAAGCGAATGCCTTTAAGCTTTTAAAAGTATTCTTTCAACAAACAAAACTTTAAAATGTGTGATGTTTCATCTGTTTATATGTTTATAGTTGACTTTTTTTTTTTAACTCTTTTATCTGAATTTTAAAGGTCATTATTTTTAAGTTTTATTTGTTCCTGTTATCATAGATATTTTATTAAAGAAATATGAGGGGGCTTCAAAAAGTTCATGTAAAGATGGAATTTAAAAATGGTGAAATTTTCCCACCAACTTTTTGAAGCCCCTCACATACCAGCTGTTCCATGGGAGAAAGATGAGGCTTTCTGCTCCTGTAAAGTTTTACAGCCTTGGAAACCATATAAGGGTCGCTATGAGTCGGAACCGACTCCACGGCACATAACAACAACAGTAACACATTATATATACACACACACACACACATATATATATATAAAATAACACATATATCAGCCTGTATAATGTGTTGTTTATATAGGTTGAAGTAATCTACAGTGGAAGATGTCTCTTTTAACAATAGCAGTTTTTGACATTAAAATCTTAAATATAATGTTTTTCTAATATTAATATATCATGTGGAAATTAATTCCAAACTTTGAATTATTGAAGCATACTAATAACATTTTAAGTTACTTAGTGATTATTTTAAGAGATTGATGTTCTAATGACAGTGTACTCTTAAAGTATTTGTTCTTTATGTAAATAGAAAAATAAGAATGCTGTATGAGTTGTCTCAAAAAGTACCTTTATTCCACTAGGGAGCAAGCTTTATTCGTTGCATCAAACCCAATTTAAAAATGACAAGCCATCACTTTGAAGGTGCTCAAATTTTGTCTCAACTTCAGTGTTCAGGTATTTACATATTTTTATAATATACCAGTAATCTTAACTCAGATACATTTTCTTAGGTTTAGTGTTTTCAAATGATTCACAGTTATGTGCAATAAGATTTTTATCATTTTCCTTTAGTTATAAGAAAAGCACTGCTGGCAAATTAATGGAGCAATATTGGGTTTATTACGAAACAAATGGTTTTACATCACCGAAGTAAGAGTTTCCAAAGTTCTTTAAGTGCTAATGTGGTTCAGCCATCAGTGGGCTGCTTTCTGTGGCCCTCTCCACTTGCTTTTCTTATTCCCCTCATAACTCAGGTCAGAAAGTAGGTAGGCTGACCTCACTTCCCATTCAGGGAAACAATAAATACAGTGCCCTCAGTGTCTGTGGAACTTGTATGTATATGGCTCAGCTATCACTTCCTAACCCCTTACCTTGCAATATCTGACCTTAGTCAGGCACAGATGCGTTAGCGACCAGGCTTATTGTTTTTCCTTCCCTTCATGCTCCTCTTCCACCCCTACCTGTATCACTCCTGCTTTTTCTAAAGATATCACCCCTCTCTTTTTATGTACTTAACTTTGTGCTTTAGCTTCTTGTTGTTGTTAAGCTGCTGAGTTGGTTCCGACTCATAGTGACCCTACGCAGGGTTTCCAAGGAGTGACTGGTGAGCTGGAACCACCAACCTTATGGTTCAAACCAGTTTGTGGTCCAGCACATTAACCCACAGTGCCACACAAGGACTCCTCTAACTTAGGCTCTTAGTATTTCCTTAAACTCTCTTGTCTCTCTGACTCCTTTCCTCTCAGAGGCAGATTTATCACAAAGTTTCAGGGTCCCTCTCTTAAATGGTCCCTTCCAAAGTCCTGTACCTAATGTATTTGTTATTTTCTTTAAGAGCTCTTCTTCATTTATATATGCTTCAGGCTTCTAAAACCTGGATTGACCCGACCCCTGACCTCTGTCACAAAACCTTAACTGTTGATGAATCTGATTCTTTCCTCTCCTCTTGTGTACGCAGGATTGGTGTGCAACATAGGTTGGCACCATGTTCATGATCACTGATCTTTAAGGAGTTCGCAAACCTGTTATGCCAATCTTCCCTGTTAAACATTGCCACCGTCCCTCCACATTTTGGGTCCTCCTTGGTCTCCTCAGATTTCTGCTGTGGCACTGTGGAATAAGCACTCAACCTCCAGGTCAGTTTGAATTGCAAGGTCAGCAGTTCAAACTCATCAGTCACACCTTGAAACCCTATACAGGATTACTATGAGTTGGAACCAACTCAACGGCACTTAACAACACTAACAGGTGACCTCACCTTTTTACTTAAAAACTGAAAGCATCACCTGTCTTTACTGATTACATGTACTTATTAGCATAAGCAGTCTTTCTCCCTCTTGTTAAATAAGAAGGCATGTCCTCTCCCTGATTGAGGCTTATGTTGTTGTTAAGTGCCATCAGTAAGTTTTGACCCATAACCTTGTATAGGGTTTCTGAGGAGCAGCTAGTGGTTTTGAACCAGTAACCTTGCAGTTAGTTCTCCAGTGAATCTCCTACAGCACCACACCAGGACTTATGGCTACTTGGAATCCAGTCTGTCCTCCCTTCTCATGAAATCTGGTTACATATGTACCACTTTTCCCTCATGATGGCTCTCCCACTTGTGATTGGGAAGAACACGATCAGCATTTCTCAAGCTGGGGGAACTGAAGAAAAAATTCAAGCCTAGACTTTCGTTATTGAAAGATTCTCTGGGCAAATTATTGATTGATTCAGAATGCATCAGGAGAAGATGGAAGGAATACACAGAATCATTGTATCAAAAGGAAATTGTATCAAAGGTTAATGTTCAACCATTTCAAGAGGTACCATATGAACAAGAGCCAATGATACTCAGGGAGGAAGTCCAAAGTGCACTGAAAGAGTTGGCAAAGAACAAGGTACCAGGAATTGATGGAATAAAAATTGAAATCTTTCAAGAAAGTAAGGCAGCACAAGAGGCACTCACTCATCTCTGCCAAGAAATTTGGAA